GCAGAAAATTTACATACAATGTGTAGCAGATAATAGTATATTAGTGGATTCCTTCAGATTTCCCATATACATAATCAATCATGTTTGAACAGACATCATTTTACTTGATCCTTCCCCATATAAATATCTTACTTCTTTCACTTCCCCAGTGTCCTTGGCTGGAATCTCCAGGACAATGTTACCTTGAATAAAATTGACAACAGCAGACATGTTTATCTTATTCTTGATCTTAGAGAGAAAGTATTAACTCTTTTACCATTAGATGTATTAGCCTAGGAGTTTTCATATATGCCTTTTATTTGGTTGAGGAAGTGCCCCCCTATTCCTAGCTTACTAAGAATTTTCATCATGAATGGATGTTGATTTTTGCCAGATTCTTTCACTGAGCCTAAGATGATCCTGTGATTTGCTGTTGTTTTTCATTCACCTGATTGCATTACATTAATTGATTTTCAGAAGTTGGAAAACAATCACACATTTCTTGGATAAAACAACGTGATTCTAGATTCATGTACAATTTTGAACCCAGGATAAACTAAAATAATCTTGAAACAGAAGAACAAAGTAGGAATACTACTTTCCAGGTTAAAAAAGTCCCACAGAGCAAAAGTCTTTCAGACAATGTGGTACTAGTTCAAGTATAGTCATATAGATCAACTGATCAGAACAGAGAATCCAAATATAAACCTATGTAGCTACAGACAGCAAAATTTTGACCAGGGTGCTAAGAGCACAGAATACAGAAAGAATAGTTTTTTCAGACAAATTGTGCTGGGCAGTTGGTTATCCACAAGTAAAAAATGCAGTTGAACCCTCATTTCATATTTTTTTTCCACATATAACTTTATATAATATTAACTAAGTAGATCAAACACCTAAATGTACAAGCAAAACCATAAAGTTATTAGGAGAAAACATAGGGTAAACCTTTAAGACCTTACTTGGCAGTTTTAGATATGACACTGTTCTAGTTTGCCTTCAATTGCTGTGACAAGACACTCTGACGAATAGCAACTTGGGGAGGAAAGGGTTTCTTTGGCTTACAAGCACATTCTGTCATCAAGGGAAGCCAAGGCAGAAACTCAAGATAGGAACCTAAGCACAGACCATGGAGGAATACTGCTTACTGGTTTGCTCCCCTAGCCTGTGCTCAGCCTGCTTTCTAATACAATACAGGCCCACCTGCCTAGGGATGGCACCACCCACAGTGGGCTGGGTTCTCCCACATTATTCAACAGTCAAGAAAATGCCTCACAGACACGGCCACAGGCCAGTCCAATGGAGCAAAGTCCCCAGTTGAGGGTCCCTCTACCAAGGTCTGTCAAGTTGACAACTAAAGCTATCCAGTACAAATATCAAAAGTGAGAGCAGTGAAGAATAAGAGGATAAATTGTACTTTGTCAAAATAAAAAGTGTGTGCTTCCAAGGACATCAAGTCAAAAAAAAAAAAAAAAGCCCACAGAATGGAAACAATGTTTACAAAGCATAATATATAGGACTATAATATAGGACTTGTATCCAAAATATTTAAAGAATTATTTTTTAAATTGTTTTAAACATAAGTACTGTATTTTCATCATTTCTACCCTTCCCTCCCTGCCTCCAACTCTTCCCATGCACCCCCACACTTCAATTCTGTAATCTTTGATTTTTGTTACATATATACATATGTATATAATTATATATATACATACATATATAATTTACTGAGTCCACTTACTTGTGCTTGCATATACATGTATTTAGGGTTGACCACTTGGGATTGGATAACCTATCAGGGAGCTTTTCCCTGGACAAAACTGATTCTCCCTCTCTTGGCAGCCCCTGGTTGTCTGTAGCTCATCATCTAGAGGTGGAACCATGTAAAATTGTCCCCATTCACATTAACATGTCAACTGGTGTCATTATGTACGTCTGATAGGCAAACATAATAAGATTTCATAGGTATGGCTTCCCTGTCATGTCTAGAATATACTACCTAGCAGTAGGCATCCTGGTCCTCTGGCCCTTACAATCTTTCTACCCCCTCTTCTGTCATGTTTCCTGAGGCTTAGGTGTAGGGGTTGCATTATAGATGTATCAATTGGGGGTAGGCACCCCAAGGTTGCTTGTTCTCAGCATTCTGACAAGTTGTGGAACTTTGTAATAGTCTCCATCTGTTAAGAAAAGAGGCTTCTTTGATGAATGATGAATATGAGGATCAGTATTTAGAATATAATAAGAAATCATACTGGTTTAGCAAATGGCAGTAGCAGGTTCTCCTCTAGGGTCTGTAACCTCTTGGGTCACAGGTAATGTTTACAGTATCAGACATGGATTACCGCCTACTGAATGTATCTTAAGTCCAATTAAATAGGTGTCTGTTACCATCAAGATAAAAGATAAAACTATTGCACCAATAGAGATTTTTGCTGAGCTGGTTATTGTTGTGCTTCATAGGTTTTACAGCTATCAAAGACTATTGATTGCATTTCTCCCTTGGCAGCTTGCATAGCACCTTCCAATACTATGAGAGCTAGTGCTCCAGCAGGAGGCTTCAAGGTCAGTTCCAGCTCAATTTCTCCAAGTGCTACATCTGAAGTATGTAGTATCCTCAGATATAAAGCCTTGCCTTCAAGTTCTGGGAGGCAACCTAGGGCTATGGCAATAGCCTATACTGTTTTGGGAGTCTCTTAGGCTACTCTAACCAATAACTGGAAGGGAGGTTCCCTTGTTTGCACTAGAATTTTTGTTAATAGCCTTTAGCTTACACACACACACACACACTATATATATATATATATATATATGTATATATATATATGTATGTATTTTAAAGTAAGCTTATAAAATAATACATTTCCCTATGGTTTTTTAGATATCCTTAGTATTATTTCTCTTTCTTTCCTTTCTTTCCTCCTGTATTACCCTCCCTCCTCCTCCACAATTAAAGTCCACCCCCGAATTTTTCCTATTAAATTTTCAGGTAAATGGATGGACCTGGAAAACATTATACTGAGTGAGGTAACCCAGACTCAGAAAGACAAATGCTGCATGTTCTCTTATATGTGAATCTTAGTTCTGAATCTTTAGATGTGTGTATATAACCTGAGGTATTTGGAGAAGCCAGGAAAGTAGAAAGAGACATGGGGGGTGGGAAGGAGCTCAAGAGAGGGAGATAGTAGAACACAGGCAACTCAATAATAAAAAGAAAATTCAACTTTTAAAAAAGCAAAGACAATAAACAGACATTCCTTCAATCATGATAGACAAATGGCCACTAAGCATATAAAAAGATACTCAGCATCATCAGTGATTCAGGAAATGCAAGTCAAGAGCACAATGAAATGTCAGGTGACACTTCCAAGTATTGGCAAGAATGTGGAAGAATCTTCACACAGTATTAGTGGGAATGTAAAATGGCACAGCTAAACTGGAAGACAGCTTGTCAATTCCATAAGTAATTAAACACAGTTATCATAAAATCTAGCCACTGATAAGTATATTTCCAAGAGAAATGGAAAAGATGTCCACATAAAAGCAGGTACATAAATCTTTGCAGAAGCATTGGGGGAGGGCATGTATGTTTCTGGGAACATGTGTGTGTTCAGGTGCATATGCATATGTGTGTATATGCATGTGAATGCCAGGGGTGTCATTCCTCGGGAGCCATCTTGTTTTTGGAGACAAGGTCTCTCACTGGGACCTAAGGTTCACCAATTAGGCTAGACCTAACTGGCCAGCAAACCCGAGGGATCTGCCTGTCTCTGTTTCCCCAGTGCTGGGAAGCAAGTGTGCACCATCATGCTTGGCTTTTTTATGTGGGTGATAGGAATCAAACTCGTTCCTTTTGCTTACAAAACAGGCACTTTATCAACTAAAGTATATACCCAGCCTAAAGAGCAGCATTAACCCTTAGTATCAAAACGATAGAATCAACCCAAATATTCATCAACTTATGAATGGATAAACAAAAGCCATAAGTCCATAACGTAGAATATTATTAAACTATACAAAGGAATTAAGTTTTTGATTATAACAAATGAAAGATGCTGGTTACAAAGAGCTACATATAATGTGATGTTGTGAACATGAAATGTGCATAATAAGTGCATATGTGAATACAGAAAGTGTGTTAGTAGTTGTCTGGGGCTCGAGTGGTCAGGGAAATGTAGATGAAAACAGAGCAGCAGTTGAAGCACTCAGGGCTTCTTTTAAAAACCTCTTAAGTAGATTTTGATGTCATTCATATCTAAGAACATACTGAAAACTACTAAACTCTATAATTGGCTGAGTTATAGAATATGCGAGCATATATCTCTTAATGCCTTTGAAAATATTTGAAATTCATGAGGTACAATTTTAATGAGTGCCTAAATCTTAAGCAGTCAAAAAGAGCACTAGAAAAAGTAGTAAAAATCCATGTAACAGAAATGTAGAAAAGTATAAAATAACCTTTCTGGAGTAGAACAAATGCAAATGGAAAACAAACATGAAAATGTTCAATATCACAGCTGCTGAAATAAAATGAAAACACATCAGCCACCTGTCAAGTTATCATGCTGTTGGGGAGAAAAACAAGCATGGTGCATTAAATACAAACACAGACATATAGCCAAATATGAATACACATACAGCACTATTAGACAGTTGAATTTTATGACAAAACAGTCACACACTTCACACAACCATTCATGCAGAAAGAACACATGCCAAAGAGTATTGGTGATTATGTTGTAATAGAAACGTACATTGACAGGTTACAATAAGCAAATATTTTCTTGGTATAGGAAAACAGTGCTAAAATCTATATGCATAAGAGACTTTCTCCTTGGTTGTGAAATCAAATGAATTAAAAGAACAACAAAGAAGACAGCATTCCAAAGAGAAATGTAGGCAGCTTTTCACAGCAGCGTGGGCACAAAGGTGTTTTTGATTGGTACATCCCAGTGCCCAGGAGTGAACATGACAGTTGCCATGGGGTAATGTTTGTCCACTCAGTAAGCATCCTCCCTTATTACCTGCTTTAGAAGTCACAAGCTGGAGCACAAGAGGTCGTCTAGTTACAATGCCTGATCCTCGAGGAAGAAAGTCCCTGAAAAACATAAGAAAGCATAGATGAAGGGTTTGTGGAATTCTTACAACCTGTACATTTATAAATTGGGTTCTATAGGAATTCTTCTAATTCCCAATGTTTCAATGTATTCCCTACCTCAGGAAAACTAGATCCACCTGTGAAAGAAGTGTTTGCAAAGTTAGAAAAGAAAGGAAATGTATATCAACAATTAATCCAATATTAATTGTTAATCCAATACATATTAATCCAATACATAGTCCTGACTAAGACTCATCATTCATCTAGCTAGAATTAATAAAATCTGAAGTTTCTGTGTATTCCCAATTTATATTCATTTCCAGAGAATCCACATTAATAAAAAAAATATAATGCTGAAACTAAACCCAGAATTGCTTCTGATAACTACAAAATCAGTCAAGATCAATATTAGCAATATCAAATGCTGACCATTATTACTAAGGGAGTGAATTACATTGTTGTTCAGGATATTTTCTAAATATCCAGAAATTTTTCTCCAATACAAAGGTCCATAGTGCACTCACATGAATGCAAATATCATATATATATATATATATATATATATATATGAGACAGGGTCTCCCTGTAGCTCCAACTGGCCTGAAACTCACTATGTAGACCAGGCTGGCCCTGAACTCACAGAGATCTGCCTGCCTCTGCCTCCCTAGTGCTGGGATTAAAAGTGTATGACACCATCCCCGGTCATCAAATATTATATCTTTAAATATAATACATAATCTAAGAAATTAACACTAGGAAAAATATTGCAACTTGAGTTTTTGTTCCTTATCATTCCTACTAGGTGGGAGATTTTTGAGAAAGGTCATGTTGAAGATGAGAGATGAACAGAGCATAAGCCAATAAACCTGCAGCAAGAAAGCACTGCACTGAAATTACTTGGCAATGCCACATGCATCATTACTGAGTCTACAATATCTAGAATCTATAAACACCTCTATCACAGATTTTTGTCTGTATTTGTGCTTTGTTTTGTACTGGGTATTAAACCAGAGCCTCGTGCATACTAAGTAAGCATTCTACCACTGAGCTGTGGCTGCAGCCCTCTTTTCACTTTTCATTTTGAGACAAGATCTCACTAAGCCTGCCCAAGCTGAACTTGAACTGATTCTGTAGCCCAGACGGACCTCTGGCTTTAGTGTCCTGATTAGCTAAGTTTCTAAGTGTATCACAGTTTTAAAGCACATTTAGAATGCCTTGCAACTTTTGGAAGAATGCTACAGAATTCTATTCAAAATAAACCTTTGATTCAATGAACCAACAGCAGTGTTTCTCAAAAAGGGGGTTCTAGGACCACCAGAAAGAATTCCAGACAATCAGAACACATCATTATGAACCACACTTAAAATACTCAGGGGCAGAAGTGAGATCCACAGGAGATCCTAATGTTCACTAAGGTTAGAGAGCTATGGGCTTCGAGGCAGGATGTATTGCTCAGTAACTCCATGGTGACAATGGTACAGGGCATACAGGGGTTTGCGGAAAGAACTTCAACATGATGAGATTTCAAAGAATAGCAATTTAGGAAATAGGCAAAGGCTGGAAGGAATGCCCCAAAGTCCAAGCAATTACAGGCACTGATGCTCTGCTGTGGAGAGTCAGAGATAAAATTCAGCAAAATTTCCTCTATAGCTTATGTATTTTGCAAGCACTAAAATATATCCTGAATGAGTCAATTGTACTAAACAGCCCCTAAACTAAGCTAGTGACTTATTCCTTAGCTCCAAGGACTGAGAATCACGTAGAAATCACTGTGTGCAACCGAAATAGAGAATAGTGAAAAACAAGTTTGTGTTTTCCCTTTTTAAAATTCCACTTTAAATAAAAAGTGCTTTTATTCATTAAAATGCATTGACTGGGTATGATGGCGCACATCTGTAGTTCCAACACCCAGGAAGGTGAGAGAAGAGAATCCTGAGTTCAAGGCCAGCTAAGCTGCACAGAGAGACTCTGTCTCAAACAAACAAAAACACAGAACAGAGCATCTATGTTCTGTGCCTACAACCAACAAGGAAGAGGTTAATTTGAAAGTCAAAATGAATGAAGAGAAAACCAAACACCAGAGTAAAAGGCTGAAGGCAATCTGAGCTCCCATGAATGAAGTTTTAGGCTGTATTGATGTCAAAGAGAACTATAAGGTCTTAAATCCCTGAATAATGCCTTCTAAAAATCAAAATTTTTTCAATAAAAGAGAAATAGAGAAAAAGGAAGGAGAGAGGAAAGGAAAGGGGGATGAAAAGAGATTTCTTGATTTTACACCCTCACTCAGGAGCTTATTTCACCTTGAACTTGTGACTGTGCATTTATGATGCAGATTTAGCAGCAGTTCCAATGAACATTACTAAAGCAAAACATAACAGATCAAACATTTTAAATAGCAAACAATTTTCATGTGTCTGGGTGAAAGTAACCCCACAGACACATCTAATGCTTTTCTCTACCTTCTCATTTATTAAGCAGAATGTTGCATTATGAGTAATAAATGGATTCATGTATCCAACCTGTTTCTTACAGTCCTGCCTCCAATATACACACTCTTACTAACAGTGAAATAATTCAAGAACCAAATCTGGCTCACTGGAAGTCTCTCCTGTTTCATAGGAACCTCTGGACTACAACAAAGCACTAGCGAGAAATCTCTAATGAAAAGTCAGTGGTTAGTCTGGCATCCTGAATGCACAACTCATTTTGATGACCCAGCAAAATTAAAACCATATGCCAGGAGCCCTCCTGCTGTGTGAGTTGAGGGCATGATATCTCAAAAGAGAGACAAAGAACCCCACTTTGAAAACCAGCTCCACCATTGCACAGGCAAAATTATCTCTAAACCTGTTTCAGTGATCCTAACTACAGCCCAGATTACATGGTTCAAATGAAACACAGCATGTGGCAGCACATTAAAAGCTCAAGAACAATAGAAATATGCATTAATATTTCTATCATTATTGCTACATTATAGTAATAATGTGTTCTCCATAACATTGGAGTATTCTCTTTTTTAAAATGCCTTAAGACCCTAGATATACCATCCTAGCCCTTTATGAGTGGACTACGAGATGAGGAGCCACTGACCCCATTTGAACTGTACCCTTAGTATGGACCAGCTGCAGTAGTTTGGAATGATCAGTCTGTTATCTCTGCTTCCATCCACACCAAGCCAGACATCCACAAAAACACTCTTGAATAATTCATTAGGCACTGAGTGCAGTCATCCACTTGATCATTTGATCTTCATTTCATTTTGTTTTCTATGCAATAAGCAGTTGACTTTTTGCTTCCCATAAGCATGTCTTATGGGGAAATGGGTTTATTACATTAATGTAGGGGAAATAATTATTGTGATTTAAAGTCTATATTTTCTTTGTAATTGTGGTCTAATACAAAAATATATAGAGATTTGAGAAGCCAGGGACCTCATTTAAACCACACACACACACACACACACACACACACACACACACACACTTTCCTCCAAAATGGACCATTAATGTAAGAGTGAGAAGAATAATCTGAAGATGAAGCATTACTAAATTGACTCTAGCAACCGTATTATATATGGTGACTGTCCAGATCTTAGGGAAGGAGGAGTGCTGCCCGCTCTGGCCTCCAGCAACTACAACTCAAATGCCTTTCTTCTCTCTCAACACCTATCCATAAAGCATCAATCTATATAGTCTTAGCAGATGTTTTTCAGAGAGTGAGTCAACACTTTTCCCAGTTTCATGACTCCAAAACAAAAAGTTAAAAAAACAGTTTGCAGCACATCATATAAGGAATGGAATTGGCAGCATTTCTTAATAGCCCTTTCAGAAACTTAGTCACCACAAAGAAGCATTACTACTGCTCAAGTAAGAAATGAATGAACTTTGGAAGTGCAATAGGAGCACACAGGGGCTGTCTCCAGAAGACTTAAACAAGTTTTCCTTCTTGGCAGCAAATAAATACGGAGACACTTTCTTCAACAGCTATGTAAATGATCATTAGGCAGATGATCTGTTCAATAAACAAATGTTTAATGACTTCCTGTAACTAACTATGGGAGGCATAACTTTTACTCTCCTAGAAGTTAATTCCTGTAGCTCATTCAAGGATATGTAAGCTCAGTCTTGGAGGAGAACCACATAGGAATCATTAGAATAAGCAGGTGCTATAGATACACTTCATTCAATGCATAGGACCCACACACAGAGCAAGTAGTATCTGTTCTGTTTGCATGAAACAATCATGGAGAAGAACTATGAAGCAGGATACATTCTACAGGGAATCAGAATGCTCAGAGACATGGAAAACCAGAGTACAACAGAACATTAAGTAACTGCAAAACAGTCAGAATGAGACAGAGAAGTGGACCTTAGAAGCCTACCTGATGGTGTTTGTGTGTGTTTCCATGAGAATAAGATGAACTATTGTTTTTATGTGATCAGATTTGCATTTCAGAAAACTAATAAATGAAAAAGGAAGAGACTTAAGATCAGGAAAACAGCCACTGGCCAGTCTAAGTCATCCAAGATGATAATAAGGGTCAGGCCCGGGACAATATTGGTAGAAATGAAAACAAATAACGGGGTTTGATTATTGCTTTGATGTGGAATAAAGATCATGGAAGGGTTATGATAAATCGCACAGTTGTGTACTAATCTGGGTAGGATATATAGGAAAAGTTTGATTACAGATGATATTTACATAGTGATTACTGTGTGCCAGCACCACCAACCTCCCTCTTTCTCCCTGTCTCCTTCTCCCTCTCTCTCTCTCCCTCTCTTTCTCTCTCTCTTTCTCTCCCTCTCTCTCTCCCTCTCTTTATCTCCTTCCCTTCCTCTCTCTACCTCTCCCTCTCTCTGATTTTATCCCATAAAGACACTATGACAAGTACTATTAACATTCTCACTTCACAGATGTGGAAACTCAGACATAGAAAAGTTACATAATTTTCACACAAATGGTCACAAAGCTATTTAAGTGACATTTGGGACTCAAATCTA